CTCCATAGATATCTCTCGTCTGCCGTCTCCAACAGCCGGTCTCTCCGGCAGCGGCGTTCTCTCTCACCCTGGAATGGCTGCGTTCTCCGAGCGAGATCTCCGTGGAAACAAAGACGTCTTCTACGTGACCCGCCCACCTCTCGCACGCTCAAGCCCCGCCTACTGCACGAGCAGCTCTGACATCACTGAACCAGACCCCAAGGTGCACACACACACACTCACTGAATTTCACAATTCAATTCAGATAGCTTTATTGGCATGACAAAAATACATTTTGTATTGCCAAAGCATTAAGACAACAAAGAAAATGGTTTAACATCTGAATATTTACATTAGAAGATCTGAACATTTATTTATTTATTATAACTAATATGTAATATATAACTAATATGGAAATGTCATATATATATATATATATATATATACCCATAGATACATATAGAAAAAAAATAATAATAACGATTTTCCTGTAGAAACTGCTGGACTGAGAATTGTAACATTATGTACATGAGTAACAGTATTTCAGTTTTGGGCTGTGAGAGTGTGTCTATTGGCTGTGTGTTTCTGGATTGTGTTTGTCCCTCAGGTCATGGCACGATGCTACAAATCTTGCAGCTATATTTGCACATTTGGCTTTTTCGCCCAGAATGAAACAAAGTTTTTCGGTTGGGCTACAAATGTAAAATTGGGGAAATATTTGATTAATTTTGGGGTAATAGTGGTCTCTGATGGTTTGGTATTTGGGGCATTCTGTGAGGAAGTGCAGCTCTTGTCACTCTCTCACTCACACACACACACACACACACACACTCTCTCACTCATATACTCACTCACTCTCTCACTCACACACACACACTCACTCTCTCACTCATATACTCACTCACTCTCTCACTCACACACACACACACACACTCACTCTCTCACTCATATACTCACTCACTCTCTCACTCACACACACACACACACACTCACTCTCTCACTCATACACACACTCACTCTCTCACTCACACACACACACACTCACTCTCTCACACACTCACTCTCTCACTCACACACACACACACTCACTCTCTCACACACTCACTCTCTCATACACACACTCACACACACACACACACTCTCACACACACACTCACTCTCTCTCACACACACACACTCACTCTCTCACTCACACACACACTCACTCTCTCACTCATACACACACTCACACACACGCACACACTCACTCTCACTAGTTAAGGGTTCTAGTTAACCCTTTAGCCCCCCATAGTTAATGCAACTGCATAAAACTTAACTAAAGTCAAGCAGCTAGTCAGAAATCTATAATCTATAATAAATATTTATATTAATGAAGTATTGGAATATTTACAATAAATATTATTGTTAATAATATAATTATTAGTAGTACTAATTTTATTAATAATATGTATTAAATATATCAGTATGTGTAATAACAAGTATATTAAATTATAATTTCATGTCCATCACAGTAATTTATTTACATTTAGTCATTTAGCAGATGCTTTTATCCAAAGTGACTTACAAATGAAGACAATAGAAGCAATCAAAATCAACAAAAGAGCAATGATACACAAGTGCTATAACAAGTCTCAGTTAGCTTAACACAGCACATGTAGCAAGGTTTTTTAAAATAATATAATAAATAAAAAGAAAACAGATAGAATAGAAAAAGATTAGAAAGCTAGTTTTTGTTTTTTTGTTTTTTAAAGAAAACAAGCATCAAATGAATAGTGCAAGTCTAAAAGGGGCAAGTGTGTTGTTTTTTAAAATATATTTATAATAAATATGTATTATAATTTTTGTAATATTTATATTAAACATTATTGTTAATAATATTATAATTATTAATTACAAATTTTTTGTATTATTTATTATAAATTGTCATTTATTGTAAATTATGCATAATAAAGTAGATCTGTTTGTATTTCTGTGCTCAGCTCCAGAAGACTGCGGTGTTTCGTTAGCCCTTGATGATCAATCAGTCTGGTTCTCATATTGTGCTGGTCTCGTGTGTGTCTCGTCAGGTTCTCAGTGTGAATAAGAGTGTTTCTATGATGGACCTGCAGGACTCTCGCATCAACAGCGTGTCCAACCTGCACTCGGTGAACG